GTAGCTACATGAGGAACAAATATTTAATAATGGGTTTGTCGATCTAACAGAGGAAGGTATAACACCATCCCGTGGCTGGAACTTGAAGCTAGACAAATTCCAACCAGAAATAAGGCATGCTTTTTAAACAATGAGAGTAATTAACCACTGGATCAAAATCAAGAATGGATGTTTTCCTGAAAGATCTGCTCCAGGAATTATTGGGGGGAAACTAAAAAAAAAAAGTGCCATACAGGAAATCAGACTAGGTGATCACAATGGTCCCTTCTGGCCTTGGAATCTATGAACTTATGACTCATCATACTGTGCTCATCCCCACAGTGTCTGAGCACCTCATGAGCCTAGTGTAAATGGAAGTCAGTTTTACAAACACTTTGCACTGGTGTAAGTGGTGAGACACGGTGCAGGGCAATGTCAGATCAGGGCCTATCCCTCTATCTACCCAGCTTCTCAGATTGGCATCCATTGCTGTCGAACCTTAGAATCTTTAACCATCCATTCATCCCTCTACTCATGTCTCTATCTCACATGTGTGATATACATACCGGGGGGGGGGGGGGCTATAAATAACCTATATTTTCTGTGTTTAGCCAAAAAGAGACTCCCACAATTTTTGTCTCCCTGTGCTAACTGTAAGACATGTCTATCCTTTCCAATCTATGCTGCCTCTTATATTGAAGTGAGAAGCTCAATTTACCGCAAAAATTGCATTTAGAGGAAATGACAGAAATCCTGAGTGATACTAAAAGTCTCCAGAAAGACCGATTTTTTCAGTGCAGACTCATTTACCCAGTGAGGGGGAAAAAATGAAGAGAACCTTGTCAGTTCCTCATTGCATTTTCCACCAGCCTCTTCGGACACCTCCATGCACCCACTAGACAATCAGAACATCATGTTGGACATTGCACATCTTCCTTCTTCCAATCCACTGGGGGACTGAAGACTTCTTCATGTTCCTCATTCTTCTTTCCGGCAGCTCTCAAATCGGATTGTGCTATATACTTGGAGTTGTGGAAGCACCTTAATGAAAATTGAAGATGACATAAAAAATGATGTTTGAGGCACAAAATATGTATGTGTATGCGCATGTGTATGTGTAGTGTTATGAATCACACCATGCAATGCTCTCTTTAAACTTTTGGATTGTGGCTTTTAAAGTTCTTAGTGTGAGACTCAATGGCTCCTTCTACTATTCCATGAATAATCACTCTTTCTCCCATGCCTCACCTATGCTCCTGTAAAAATCGGCAACACCATCACAATATCCTCTTTCGAGTCCCTCTATAAAACTCACCTCTGCAGTGATGCATACAAAAACCTCACAATACGGCTAGGTAGCTGGTGTGCTGCAACCACTATCTATTGTGCTGATCACAGCATCTCATTAATACCTTGGGATCCCCCTCAGTCTGATGTATCCACATGTTATTCCCCATTTTACCTGGGCTTGTCTACATAAGGAAACTGCCCCAGAACAGCTGTTCTGGAATAGCTGCCCGTGTGGACACTCTCTTCTGGAATGAAAGCAATTTTATTCCAGAAAAAATTATTCCACTTTGGAAGCAAAATAATTATTCCAGAATACAAGTGACTTTTATTCTGAAATAGAGAGTCCACAGGAAGAGGTATCCTGGAATAGTTTATTCCACAGTATCCTATTCCGGTCAATTTCCCCAAGCTGCTAGGCCCCAATCCTGCAAACACTTCGGCCATGTCTACACCAGCAGCCCTTTACTAGGATAGGAATACCAGCATACTATACAGGCAAAGTGCTCCTAGCGGGGAGCCGTGTTTTGTATCACTACAGTAAAACCACCCGCCATGCGTGTAACAAGCTCTACCAGAAAAGACACAGCTTCACTAGGGGTTTCTGCTGGCACCGTTATCACTCTGGGGTCACTCCTCTTCATGCCCCTGACTGACAGAGCTATGTCAGCAGAAGTCTGTAGTGTAGATCCAGCCTTCACTGCCATGAGTAACCCCCAGTAAAACTGCTCACGGTAGTAAGTTAAATACTTGTGAAAGGCCTGGTCTATGCTACAGAAGTTGTACCAGTATAACAGCATGGAAGAGGGGTGTGATTTTTTTACGGATATAGTTATACAGACATAAGCCCTTGTGTAGATGCAGTTATCTCAATATAAAGATGTCTTATACCATGGTAGCTTATTTTGCCTCCCAAATTCTGTCCACATTAGGAGGGGACGTTGTCTCTTTAACTCTACAAGCAGCCAAACTTTTAACCTTATATCTGAAAACCCTTATGTCTACACTACGTGTACTGCTGCAGCTGTGGCATTGTAGTGCCATAGTGTAGATGCTTCCCACTGTGATGGAATAGGTTTTTCCATCAATGCAGGGAATCCGCCAGTGGTGGTAGCTAGATCGATGGACGAGTTCTTCCATTGACCTAGCAGCATTTATGTCAGTGGTTAGGTCAGTTTACCAACAGCGCTCAGGGGTGTGAATATTTTTTACACTCCTGAGCGACGTAGCTAGGACAATCTAAATTTTAAGTGTTGACCAGGGTTTGGTCGGCACTTCAAACTTATGCTGGTGTCATTTATATTGGTCAGAGGTGTGAAAAAAACAGACCCTCCCCGCCCCCCCGGTGACAGATATGCCAAGAAACCATCAGTATAGGGCTTCTGTTGACACAGCTAATGTCATTCAGGAAGGCGGTGTGGGAAGAAAAACCTTTTTCTGTCAGTGTACATGGAGGGCTATGCTGGCATAAGCTCTGTAGTGTAGATTAAGCCTTACCCTCATGCTGAACTTCACTGCCATAGGTAGTCCCCATTGAAAGAACCAGCCACAGTAGTAAAGTTAAGCACATATTTGTAGGCTTGGGACCACAGGCCTGGTCTACACTGTGTGGGGGTGGCAAGCTAAGTCGGTCTAAGTTACGCAAATTCAGCTACGAAAATAACATAGCTAAAGTAGACGTGCTTAGAGCTACTTACTGCAGTGTCTTCACTGCAGTAGGTCGACTGCTGACACTCCCCCGTCGACTCCGCCTACGCTTCTCGACTCCCCCGTCGACTCCGCCTATGCTTCTCCAGTGGAGTACCGAAGTTGATGGGAGAGCGCTCGGTGGTCGATTTATCGTGACTTCACTAGACGTGAGAAATTGACCCCCACTGCATCGATCACTCCAGAGCTAAACGTAGACATGCCCTTAGATTTCAAACTCTTTGGGGGGAGGAGCCATCTTTTTTGTCAGCTGCTTGTACAGTACCTAGCACGATGGGGTCTGTAAGTGCCACCATGCTCCAAAATATAATAATAATACCTGATTTTTAAAATGACTTATTAATAAAAACAGGAAAGCCCATTAGAATCAGGAATGGAGGGAAAAAAACATCCATCACACATTTTTACTTCAAAAACAAAGCAGAATCCCACACATCACCCATCATGCGCCCCTCCCCGCCCCCGCAGGGACCTGACAAGTAACTGTTTTGCCTTGTAAATGTTATCTTATATTGCAAAACATCAATTGTCTATGTTAATCCATTGTGATTTCTTCCCTTCCCCCTCAATCACCACCCAACCCCATATAAAATATTAAGCTTAATATTAAAAAGTATGGTGGGGCCTTATACAAACATTGATACATGCGCTCTGTGTTCACAGGGGAAAGGCTCTATTCCCCTACAGTTTCAGGAGAGATGGAGATTTTAAGCTTCTACTAATTTGGCTGCAAGTTTATATTTCATTGCAAAACTGCCCTTGTTTCTGTGGAAGCCAAGGACAATAGAAAACACACCCAGCTTCTTAACATCTGCCATCTTTAATATGTAATTGGCCAGGGCTTAAGGTTGCAAAGGAAGGTCCCACTGAAAGGATTTGATAAAGATATTTCTTTCTTTCACAATACATTCCCCACCCCCCATCACCCCCTGCCATCCCGTGTCTTTATTTAGAGACAAACACAAGTCTTGAATGTGGCTGCTCTTGGGATTATTAGCAATTTAAATATTTGGAATTCTCCTAAGAGTTTGTGTTAATTGTGGACACTGGAAACTTGCTATTCCACTTTTCCTACACACACACACACACACACACACACACACACGAAGGGTGGAGGGTGGAATTCAGGTTTCACTGAGCTTGCTAAACTCACAGGGGCCCTCAAATTTGATCATGATGAGCCACTGCACAGGTCGATGGCAGATGTGGCTTGGCCCTCTCCTTGAAGAAATGAATGCTGCTACCTGTTTGGATTGGCTGTGTCCAAAAAAAACATGGAGACCACACATGAAATAGAGCAGGTGCATTGGCATGGAGCAGACCAGAATGAGTAACTTCTCTGATTCAATTAATACAGTCCTGGAGTGCTTCAGACAGAAGCCCATATAGACTCTTGTTTTATTCACATATACAAAGCCTCTTCCCTCCCCCCCCTTCTCTTTCTAGTGCAAGCTTTCCTAGGTGCCATCTGCATCCAGATTTCAGTTGACAAACAAGGGGAGAGTGCTGCTGAATGAATTACAGAGACAGGACCTTGTAAATATTAATCAAGATGCTTTTTTCTCTGTTTGGCTCTGCAGGAAGTAAGCAGATGGGGAATGGGACAGCCCTTTTGCCCAGCTGAAGAGTGGGGATAATGTCAGCCTAATGAATTCCACCAGCAGAACATTTTTACATAAAATCAATGGCTGGATATGAGGTTTAAATATTTTATTAGACCTTCAAGTGGTCAAAAAATGTCTAAAAGTGGGGGAAACTCAGTTTTGTGCAAATGTCCCAGATCTTGTGTAAGGAAAGGGGGTGGCTTTAAAGGTGGGGCAACGACCCTTGGAGATTGGGGAAGAAGAATGAATGGAAGGATTGCATTCCATAATTAATAGTTGGAAATAAATTGGCTCACTTAAATTCTACTCAAGTTTCTAGTCATTCAGGTGTTTCACCAATTCACTGATGTCTTGTGTGGTTCTTTCCAATAGATGGTTTCGTAATAAATCATTACACACATATTTTTCCATTGGGGGAAAAAGTGCATTTCATTTTGCACCCTACATTTGGTAAATAAATAAATAAATAAATAAAACCCCAAAACTCTTTTTTAGAGAATGGTTTCTTCAGAGAATTTTCTTCTCCATAACTAATAAAAAAGGCAGAACATGAGTACATTTTAAGCAAAAGTCTTATCTGTTCATTTAATATTAACAAATTGAAATGAATTATTTTAATGCCAATTAACTTGTAGCTGTCCCTTATTAATAGTAATTTAGATTAATATTTCTTGGAAGCAGGAACATTGGGCTCAGTGTTACGTGCCTGGAATATCAACTGGAGAAGAAAACATCACTTTGAGTCATGAGGAGTTGAGCTCTTTCCTTTTTTTCTTCATCTTCATCTGAGCTCTTGTTTTTTTCAGTCAAAACTCAAAAAGTACATCTGGGTGACTGTCTCTAAACGTTGCCAGCTTAAAAAGACAACAGGATCATATTAAAAAGGCTTAAAAACTATCCCATAAAAATTGGATTTAATGATTTCTCCAAAGCCTCCAGTTTCAGAGTCATTATATTGATATATAGATAGATAACTATCTTTATAAGACTCCTAACAATCAAGAAGTGTAACTATTCTCCATATTCCTAGCATCTTCTTATTTCAATTAAAACAAGCCAATAGATCAAAATACAATTAAATTAAAACTATTCTACAAAATCCACCTTCCTATAAGGTCTGGCTGATTAAACTAGAGTATAATTAATAATACATTTTCTTACCCACTGATTCTTCCAAAGGAGATTTAGCTTGGGAGAGCAGAAAGAAAACCCAGACATCTGAAATTAAATATTATTGCTGGAAAGGGTGAAAGGTGGGGGAGGGGGAGCGGAATTAACCAAGGCAGTTGACCGTGGCTTTGAAAGAAAGAAAGAAAGAAAGAAAGAAAGAAAGAAAGAAAGAAAGAAAGAAAGAAAGAAAGAAAGAAAGAAAGAAAGAAAGAACATTTTTCCTCTATTATAATGGGATATTTTAGTCTGAAAAGTTGCCTTATAGGTTATCAATAAAGCCACTTTGGGATTTCTATTAACGAGTATCCACTTGATCTATACAGAAAGTTTGTTGCGTTTCATTACTAAACTCTCTCTCTCTCTCTCTCTCTCTCTCACACACACACACACACACACACACACAAGTATGTTCATCCATTTTCATTGCAAAAGTAATTTCAAACTTCATCGGCTAAATGAAGATGAAACGGTGTATTATGGTTGGATACAGAAGAAGGGGAGGGAGGGATGCTCTATTTAAAAAAAAACAACAACCCTCACAGCAAAAAGATGCATGCAAGCGAACTTGGGAGTGTGAGAATAAAAATGGACTTACCTTGAGCATCCCAGCAGAGATTCCAGGAGGGTCTGGTGGGGTGGGCTGGGGCTGGGCTGGGTTGGGGGGAGGGATGAAGTCATGTCCATTTCTCGCAGCCCAGAGAGAGATCTGGTGCAGAAACTGTTTCCTATCATCCCTCTTGTGTGTTTGCCCAGAGAGAGACTGAAAGTTACAAATCGCTGCCATTAACTCATCAAACAGTCCCTCTCCCAGTGAACCTTGGCCATTGGCCAAGAGCCGGCCACGTGATCCCTCCTGCCACTGTATCGAATTTCAGCTGGCTTTTCCTCGCGCTCCGGGCCGGGGAAGTGCCCCATTTGACATGGTGCAAGCCGGGCCAGGGCGCGGGACAAGGGGGCTAGCGCGGGTGGGGGCCAGCACAATGAGAGGAGGATGAACCCTCAGCCAGAGCTGGGCTGGGGGGGAGAGAGCAGGTCGGGCTATGCAGGGACCTGGCCCGGGGAGCAGAGACTCCAGCATTTGCCGCGGAGGCCGTGCAACATCCGCTGTGCTGGGGACGATCGCTGCGTGCTGGGAAGGGAGCTCCCAATTGCAGGGCCCCCCCCGCCGCATCTCCCCTCCCCGCCCGGCCAGCCCCATCCTTTCCCCGCTCCCTCTCGTCATCCCGCGGCTGGGCCCAGGCCCCTTTACAACCCCAGCCAACCTCCCGGCGCCGCTTTCGCCTCCCCAGGTTATAACTCATCCTGCTGCAGCCCCTTCCCACCCAGTTCTCATGACCCCGGCTTTCCTGGGGGGAGCCTGCCCCCCTCCGCCGCCGCCGCCTACCCAGCTTGCCTTATTGGACCCCGCTCCGGGGGTCGGGGAGCGGATCGGTACCACGCCTGTAGCCAGGACCCCCCCAGCTGTAACTCTCTGGTGGTGCCAGAAGATAGAGGGGACCTCTCTCAGGATGTTTACGGTGACACGAAAACTTTTGAGTGGATGAGAGTCAAAAGGAACCTTCCCAGAACAGGTGAGTCTGAGACAGAGGCCAGTGTATTTAACTGTGGGTGGCAGGTCACTTGGAGAGGCCAAGTAACGTCACTAGGTGATAAAAGTGGAAGATATTCAGGTGTCCCGTCCCCCCCACATTGGCGCATGCCTGTCTCTAAGCAGGTCTATTTGCCTTAAATTTTCTCTCTGCCATGATGTTTGTTCCGATTACCTCCAAACTACACTCCTTCTCCCGAGCTGAGTGTGACTTTCAGAACTTTTTTTTTCAATTAAAGTTGTCTTGTGTCTAAAATTATTGCTTTCTTTTTTTAAAAAAAAAATCATTCAAGGGGAAACAAACTTTTATTTTTTAGAAAACACGAGTTAAGAGGAAACGGACATGTTTGTCTACAATTGGCCAGAATGGTCCCCAAATAAGTGTTTGATCTGACTGATAGAATCTTAAACATATATCAAATATTTATTTGATCTGTAATATATATAGGTACACATGTATAGTTTGAAATTAATGTTGAACCTGGGGATTGGGAGGGTGTGGTTTTGAATGGGGTTATTGTTTCCTTGAAAAATTAAACGTCTTTTTTCAATATTTTAAAATGCATTTTACAGGAATCTGACTTTTGTCTCATTTTAATTTAGGCGCGACAACACCACCCGTAAAAGTAATTTAGTCCAAAATAAAAGAGATGAAACAACGTCATACTTTTGTATAATTTTAGCAGGTTGGTAATTAGCAAGTCTGACTTTTAGTTCTGTGCGCTGGGAATTTAGCTTCAAAATTATTCTACCAAAAAATTCTGATCTTGACAACGCTCAGTGCATTGCAAAATTCAAAGGGTAGCAGTTATATTCATTTAAATTACTCCCCAGAGGAAAGGCCATGTATTACCTTTTTCAAACTGAGAGGCGGAAAAACTTTCTCCAAATATTAAGCCTCGTAATGAAACCATTTTCTGAACTCATCGACAAAAATCTGTCTCTTCATAGATCATTAGAAGTTTCTTGTTTACTTCCAATTATATGTGGCTCCTTGCATCATAAATATCTTCCAAGAGATTTATCTCTGACATTTTGCTAAATATTGTATAAATTGAAGGATCTTTTTTTAAAAAAAAAATCACAACTTTCTTTAAAATTACCATAGTAGAACCATCTGTGCAAACAGATTCGCGTTTGCTTCAAGCGTTTTCCTGTAAAGTTTCTTCCAAGCTTTTGCAAATTTCTGGGTAATGTATTTTTTTTTAAAGTTAAATGTTGTTACAAAGTATCTAACTAACTGGATGTGAAATGATGTATTTTCTCAAGTGGGAGGGGTGGGAAATGCACATTTCATCCCGGTTTTAACGTTGAAAAAGGAGATCGTTTGGGGTTTAGAAAGCAATTGATATTTTCAAAGGCAATCCAGTGGAACAGCCTGAGATTTTAATGTTTTTTTAAAAAATAATCAAACCGAGTTCACTGCCTCCAAGGGATTTCCTCTGCCGTTCGAGTTTAAAGGTCTTTTGACGGCAATAGACAGTATGATTTTCCAGTTTCTTGGAGTTTGATTGAAGGGGAACAGATTTTACGTTTTGCAAACAGTTTGCCAATTGATGTTTGCTTCTCTCCTGTAACTTTTCGGGTGTGGGCAGTGTTTGTTTAGTTTTCTCTTCTGATGATCTGGGTTTATAAACGACTCCGACTTCTCCTAACTCTCTCGACCAAAGGGGAAAAGCTATTCAAATAACCAAGAAAGCAACCGCGTGGGGTTATATATATATAATAAGTAAGGCTAAAAGCTTTCTCTTTGTTTCGTGCCTTATCTCATTGTTTCACCTTCAAGAGGGGAAGGAGAGGAGTCGGTTAACTGTCATTCACTGAGAGCAAAAATATAACAAGATTGGGAAAGTTCTGCTTTTTATTTTGCTGATTCTGGCCATATATAAATCAATTAAAGAACAAGGATGAATTTGATCATTTGCAAAACGAAGGAAAAAAAGCAAATAAGAGTCAAATGGTTTCAGATGTTTTTAGTGGGTTTCACAGGCATGGAGAAGATTTGTTTTAAATGTATGCTCATTTTTGAGCTCGATACTAAGGCAGAGGGATATTCTTTATGCTAGTATAATAAGACGTGTGTTAGAGCGAAGGTGAAAATTGGAAAGACAGAAGGAGACACACAGGAAGGGAAGAAGATAGAGACTGAGAGAGATAGAGAAAGAGAGATTTGTTCTTTGATTTGAAAGTTAAGATCACGCTGATATGGAAACGCAAAACCTTAGACGTCAGACTCAACTCTGCAAAAACAGATGCAGATTATCCCCCTTCATTTAGTGCATCGCTTTAATAGCAGTGTTTGGAAAGAAAAGAAAGAAAGAAAGCTGTAAATGGAGATGCGATCACGAGACTGTCCCCTCAGGGAGCGGGGGACCCATAGGGGCTCTAACAAGGCAGTTGGCCACTCCAAGGGAAGAGTTGAAAGTGAAACTACCTGGGGCCTGAGTTCGGCATCAGAGAAGCTAATGGCTTGTAGGGGAGGCGACTCTGGTGTGTAGGGACCCGAGGCAGATAGTGAATCTGCTGCAGTTTCCCCCCGGCTTCCCCACCTCTCTCTGCCCTGACTGCCTGTGAAACCTTCGTGATTGGCATTAGAGTCATTCCAAAGCGAAAAGAGCTGTTAAGGGTTATTCGCTCCCCCCACCCCCACGTGTTTCCCTCAATCTGAATGTTTTCGGGGGGCTGGGGGGGGGGGGAGAAGAAAAGAAAAGAAAGAAAGACCGACCCGGGCCCTTTCTACCCATCTCTGGCAAGTTTCCCATTATAACCACCTTTCCTTTCCACTTAACCTTTGGGCTCCCGCATCCTGCACGTGTTCCGCCGCCAAGACCATTGGGTCAGCCTGGTTATCGAAACAGGATAACCCCGTGTGTGTGTTTTAAGGCAGAAAAGCCCAGAGCCCCAAAACAGGGCATTGTACCCCAAGATGGGGTCTGACATCACTGACCTTTTTTTCACTGCTCCTTCAAAAATCCCAGGGCCGCCCGGGGACTTTCTATGAACCACAGAGCGCAAAGGACTGAAGCCCGCGCGAGTCTAACCTGTTACTTGTGTTTTATATAATGACTATATACATAATGAATTGATGTATACACACATAGATACACAAGTACGCACGCACATATTTTATAACACACATCTATATAAAGACACATCTACATAATTAATATAGATTCCAAAATATACGCATATTACAATACATATTCATTCTGCAAAATAATCCTATATACCTACATATCACTATTTTTCAATATATATATTGCAAGAGGCAGGTACATATATACCTCTTGCTAAATACACTCCTATTGCAATATATATCGTGGAAAAGAGGAACGTGTATATGATTATTTTGCAGAATAAATACCTATTGCCGTAGGAGTATATTTTGCAATAGGGATCTATGCATATAATAAAGAAAGATAATGGAAAGTATGTGTGTGGGTGTTGGGGGGATATTACTCACGAAAAAGGTGTTTTTGTATGGGTGGGGGTTAAGAAAGAAGAAAGAAAGTTAGCTAGCTGGAAAGGGAGCCTCCTAGTTACTAACCTCATGGGTTTTAATAACCATCTCCTCCCCACCCCCCTTCCCTTTGTCTCCAGTGAAATCAGGAGACTGTGGCTTTGCTGGGGAGAAAAACGCAGTCTCTCCCAGGACAAACTTCAGCACCAAGCAGCTGACCGAACTGGAGAAAGAATTCTACTTCAACAAGTACCTGACCCGGGCCAGGCGGGTTGAGATCGCCTGTGCCTTGCAGCTCAACGAAACCCAGGTGAAGATCTGGTTCCAGAACCGCAGGATGAAGCAGAAGAAAAGGGAGAGGGAGGGTTTCCCTGAGGGGTCAGCTGGCTGCAATGGACCGGAGTCCTCCTCTGACAAATCAGACATCACCTCCCCAGCTACCTCTCCTAGCAGAAGTAACGAGGCTCCCACGCCTCCCATCTGACTGAGGCTCTTGTTAGAACTTCTGTTCTGATCTTGGGCAGAGAAACAGAAAAGAGACTTTCCCATCAGATCCACTCAGCCCCCTGCATTCATCTTGCTGGGGGAGAGAGAAGGGTGCAATGCTTTGCAATGGACTTGGGGATGAAAACACCCACCAAAACCATGTGCAGAGACTTCCACACTCACCACCATGACCACCACCGATAGCACAGGACCAGCATTGTGCTGTTAAATCGGTGTCCTTCCAATAGATGCAGATGCTAGATTAATGGATGCCATGCTAAAAAAAAAAGGGGGTCACTTTCCCTTCCAAATTCGTAGAGCAGAGGTGAATAGAAAGGGCCAAATATTTTTTTTCAAAACCATGAACTTTTTACAAAAAAATGCAGACAACAAAAAGTTTTCACACACTCTTGATTCTCTGTGAGTAAACTGGACGTTTTTTCCACTAAAAGTTTCAGTTACATTTTTATTCACAATACATTTCGACTTTTTCCACAAAAAGCTTCTACAACATCTTTAGTCACAAAAAAGATTAGATTAATTTTTTTCACAAAAAGGATCATTCTTCATGGAAGGTTTTGATGAACTTTTTCTACTAGAAGTGTTGACAAATTTTATTTTGACACATTATTTTCCCCAAAAAGTTTTGACATGAGCCTTATTCACAATGAGTTTTGATGCAATTTTTCCCCCACAAAAATTCTTGACAAAATTGTTTTGTGGGAACTTTCAATGAACTTTTTTTTCATGAAAAGTTTCACCATTTGTTTTTGTGGTTTTTTACCAAATGGTTCAATTACATGTTTTCCACAAAAAGTTCTGACAACAATTTGGGGAATAATTTTCATATTTGAACTCTAATTCCAAATGTTCCTATTTCACTGAGCCCTTTCAGAAGGAACTAGAGCCATTATCTCCTGGGAGTAATTATTTTAGAGATATGTAATACAGTTACATACCATTTTGGTGAAATTTCTAGGGAGAATAATGCTCTTCAGAAGTATTTTTAAGACCAGGACATTTTTGCTGAACTCAGCATTCTGGCCACAGACAGCCATTCTAGCCAAGGATGGTTATCACAGTTTCTTGAATGCCATCTCTATTCTTGTGCCCACACATCTAAATGATACCCTAGTGGGTGAGTTAACCCTCCCTCTGATGTGATACTAAAGGGGCAGAAAAAGCCCGGTCTCAAGCCACTGAAATCAATGGAAAAAATCTAGTGGTCTTTAATGGACTTTGGATCTAATCCATATGAAACAAGTTATATGCAGTATAATCAGTGGGCCTACACAGATATTTGATCAAGAAAATATGATGTTTCCCCCATCTTTTAAATGTGCTTTCCTAGGCTAAATGCACCTTCAGCACAAATGGATAGGAGAGGAAATGTGAGTTCAAAATCAGGCTTAGAAATATAAGAGACATGGTAATTATGCTATAAATAACCTCCTCAGTCAGTAAAAGCTTAGAAGTGTATTATTTATTTTCACATTTCCGAGGTTCTTCATTAACATTTAAATCTTCTAACAGCTGGGAAGAAACACACTTCATATTAAAAGTGGATTTAATTTATAGCAAAGAGTAAAAGCAACAAAACAAATGCAAAAATCAGGGGTGTTGTCACAGAACTTTGACAGGACAGTGGTGATGGGCTGGAGAGATGGGAATAGTTGCCTTTTAAACTTTAATAAAGGATAAAATGGAGGCCAACATTTTATCAAGAACAAACAATAAGAAGTGTTATAATAACCCTAGGTAATGTTAGAGCCACTTATGCTGAGACAAAGTTTGCACACAGTGCCTCACTTTGGAGAAATAATTGGTTCATTTTCATCACCGTGTTTTATTATTATTAATAATTATTATTATTATTGATGTTTTACTATCAAAATATATTTGAGAAATGCCTTTTGTCCATGGAGAATACTGGTTTATTTTCACTCGGATCATATATTACAAGAGGCTAACCCAATGAAAGGACTTTAGGTGGCTGAAAAGTACATTTGATTTAAAAATATACACAGCATTCTTCTTCAACAGCCGCTGGATTTATACCAAATGTTCTGCTAACCAAACTTTCCCTCGGTCTTCCTTGCCACTCATCACTGAAAGGATTAATGGGGTGGTGGTGGGGTTTTAACACCTCTAAATAATACACCCATCAGTGGAATTTCAGGCAGGACAATCCCTAGAAACTGTTGCCTTTTTAATCGGATCTTTAAATTTGCAGTTCACTCCATTTTGCTGGCAAAAAAAGAAAAAACACACATGAAACAATAGCTAAGGAACCAAATATGCTAATTTGCCACCAATGCTATTATTTTGTCTTTCCTTGTTGCAAAATTCTAATCACACTTTGGAAATGAGCTGTGAGTTGTTCACTAAAGTACTCATGTTGAATTAGGGTTGCTGCTGTGTTTTAAATTATTTTTCCTCTCATTGCTATGTAACTAAACTTTTATCTCCTTGCCTGTTTAAAAATTCTCCTAATTTGTTATTTTAAATTACTCCATGTGGAAGTCCTCCTTTTCTTTTTGCGAATACAGACTAACACGGCTGCTACTCTGAAAGGTAAATTCAGACATTTCGGTGAAACTGCAAAATGTCTAGAATCAACATAAGAAAGAAAGAAAAGTTTTATTTAAAATGTTTAGGGATTGCAAGGTTCAGTTATGACCCCAATCTAAAACTGGCACATATTCCTTTAAACCAAAGATGTATAGTGAATCCAGTTAAATGCATGGAACATGAGACTTCTTTTGACAGTGGAGAATATTTAAAAGGCACGTGAAAATGAAGGGAGCTATTGCAAAATGTCTACCTCTTATTTGCCGGGACTATCAGAATGTATGCAGTGTTGCTGTAGCAATGTCAGTCGCAGGGTATTTGAGAGACAAGGTGGGTGAGGGAATAATTTTTTGTGGAGCAACTTCTGTTGGTGAGAGAGACACGCTTTTGAGCTACAGAGCTCTTCTTCAGGACCTCTGTATAGCTCGAAAGCTTGTCTGTCTCACCAACAGAAGTTGGCCCAGTAAAAGATATTCCCTGACCCACCTTGTCCCTCAGGACTATCGGAAGGACGATATGGATTTATTTATTGATTTATTTATTTTCTTTCAATATGAAGTGGAATGTGTGTTGTGGTAGGGAGGGGAAATGGATATGTGAATGGATAACATTAAAAATTGTCTTGGTTTGATTCTATTTGTGTTACCTTATTGTTCTTTCTTTTATTTACCATGTATGTTAAGATGGCACCTCAGCTCCAGTGAGTTGGAATCTCTACATTACAGTGTGTCTGGGTGCATTACACACATATTGTAATAGACAGTTCCTGCCCCAAAGTCCTTGCAATATTGCATTGTGAATCTAACTTTCTCCCCTGCCTTGAAAATGGATGGTTCTTGAGCAAATTTGCTCCAAGGAAGGAAAACTCGTACAGCATTTTGGAAAATAAGGGTGGATCTGCAAAGATATCATTCGCATTTCGATAAAAAAAAATTGACAACATTTCAAAATTAAGAATATATACACCAAGCAGCTTGAAATAAAAAACCCCGACCTCTTTTTGCTGTAAGTAAATAGGTTGCAAGTGTGAGATATTTTACACCTACTGTAGAGATAATTCCCTTGAGGCACAAACTGCGGCTCCCAAACGTGTATTGGTTCACACACCACCTTCTTAAAATTGTTGTGACGTGAATTGCTGGAACATCAAGCTCATGTAGCAAGAGTCATTCATGTACTACAGCTAGGGAACCCCTGGTCTAGACTCATAGATTTCAAGGCCAGAAGGGACCATTATGATCATCTCATCTGACTTCCTGCTCAGCACACGCCAGAGAATTTCACCCAGTGATTCCTTCACTAGGTCCCATAATGTACAGTTGAACCAACACCTTGCGACTGATTGTCCACAATGGGCGGTCACATGGTTGTAGGTGAGGTCTTTCGGAGTACATCACCTCTAACTTCCGGAATCCTAAGGGTACAGCTGGAGGTGTGATTTCCATTTTGAGTAGACGTTTAACTGAGCTAGCATGCTAAAAATAGCAGTGTACCCCAGGATGGCAAGAGCACTGGCATAGGCTAGCCACCGGAGAACAATCCCATCCGAGTCCCTAGGTCCATCCTGAGGTGGCTACACTGCTATTTTTAGTGTGCAGGCTTAATTAAAGCTAGCACATGTACGTCCACCCAAGCTGGAAGTTACGGATCCAGCTTCAGTGTATGTGTATCCCATGGCTCATGCTCATGTCTGCATAAAGCAGTGAAGTATTGGCAACCACAAGTGTTCAAAAATCACAACCCTGCCCACCCCATCACAAAGCTAGCTTAAACATCATGAGATTTAAAGCAATAATAATAATTTTGGGGGATCCCTTTAGTTCCCTTCTTGTTTCTGAGCCTTTCGGCATCACATTTTCAGGCTTTTTCCTGCAACCATGAGGCCAGAAACTTGCTATTTTATAAAAATGATAGCTGAGAGGTTCACACAAATCCCATGATTCCAGGAGCTGGAGCTTTAAGAAAAACACCAAACTCATGATGAAATCACCAGATTTTGGCAACACTGTGCATGGGGTACAAGCAGGTTTGGGGAATCCCTTAATAAGAAGGTACTTTGCTGAATCAATTTCTTTTGTCTCAGCATTGTACACGCCAGATTGTGTCTACTGCATTTGGGCCTATTAGAACATTTCATATTTTCTCTGTGTTATACAGGCTTTATTCTAAAATTACAGCTGTCTTACAGAAAATCCATACAGGCCTACTCTTCCTTTCACCTCTGACCTTTTGACCTCTTCCTTGCCTGAGGACAGAGTTGACCCGGTCATTGACTAACCCTGAGTCAATAAGTCTGCCTTCATTAGCATAAAACATGAATCTAGTGGCAGCTTGACAAATTATAACTTCAAGCTAAAGATCTGCCAACTAGCTAACTCCTGTAACGACTATTTATCATTGGAAATGGTAAATCATAGGAATCTAGATGACTCAATTATTTGGGTTTAAGAAAGAAAGAAGGAATTCTTCATTGCGACGGGAAGGTTAAAGACAAAGCCTTGCCCCAAAGCATGAAAATGATCATGAAGCAAGGATTCTGTTCTCTCCTCCCAGATCACTCTCTCTTTCTTTTTGTCTCTCATTCTTTCTTTCCTGTGTGTCTCTCTCTCTTTTTTTTTTTACTCATTCCCTCTTTGTCCCTCCATCTCATTTTTCTTTTCCTTTGTCATCCTCTTTGCAAATCTCACCTTCTCTTTCATCCTTTTCCGCTTTCTCTTTGTCTCTGTTTCTCTTTTTATCTGTCTCATTCTCTTTTTATTCATCATTCTCTCTCCTACTCTTCTCTTCTCTCCTCTCCTTTCTTTCTTTCCATCTCCCATCCTCAGACTCTCCCATTTTTACAGCTTTCTCATCCCCCTCCTCACCAGATTTCTCCTTTTCACCAGATGCTGCTTTGCTGATCCACTGCCCTAGCTGAGGAATTGACATAGAAGGGAACAGAAGCTTTTTCCAGCAGGATCAGGGCCCACAGAGGGTCAAATCCATACCTCTTAAATATCAGCCAACCTGCCTTTGCCGCTGCTGAAATTGATGTCAGCAGCGTTCAATGATGTGGCATCCTGCAGCTCCTCCACAGTTCATGCAATCCTTGGTCACTGAGCAGAGGATAAAGCATTATCATCCATTGCACTCTCCAGAACAAGTCACTTCTCCGGCTTTGTTCATTTTCCAAAGGGAACTAGAATTTTAACAAATCTGCAGGCTGGAGACAGAGGGGTCCACATAGGAGAACCAGTCTGATTCCTGCTTTGCTTTGTGTATGGTCCCAGGCTTATTCTTTCTGGCAGGATGGTGTGCAGACAATAGGCCACAATTCTGGCCTACCTCCTTGCGATGCTACTGACTACAAAGGGGTTGTGGAAGGCTAAAACCAGGAGGGAAAGACACACTGACCCATAGAAGGGGGGAGGACAGGGAAGTACAAGAAAGCATCTGACAGAAAAAAGAGCATAAGCGAAAAAGAGAAATCAAAGATCAAATCTTGTGTGGATTAAGCCAGGTTCAATTTCCTGCTCTGTAGGGATCAATTCTATTGTCCCTTGCACTGGTGTAAATACACAGTAGCCCTCATTGACTCCACTGCAGTTATTCCAGTTTGACACCAGTACAATCCAGAGCAGAGTTTGCCTTTAAAAATTAAGGCTACTCTCTGAGGCTGACTGCAGAATTGTAATGCCTGAGATTTCGCTCCCTTCTGCTGTTTCAATAAATATGTCCTTTAAACCAGACTTGAAATAAACACCAGTCCCTAAAATTACCCATTAACCCCAGGGCAAATGGCTTGTCCTGACCTCAGAGACACTGGTTTCCAGTGGTGCAAATTTCTCTATCATAAATCTCAATTTGGGGCCAGATTCTCAACGGCCATAGCTCGATCGAAGTCAATGGGGCCAGGTCCCCAGATGGTGTAAATCAATGTAGCTCCACTGGTGTCAAGGGGGACAGATTCCCAGCTGGCAGAAATCAGCAGTAGCTCCATTGCAATCCATGGGACGACATCGATTTGGACCAGCAAGGAATAAGGACCTTTATTTCTCAGGCAGTTGTGCTGACAGACACGATCCCCTCCCAAATTCCCGAGCAAGAACATTTCACCCTCTAATTACATTTTATTGTTTCAAATAAAAAGGAAGGAAGGAAGAAAGAAAGAAAAAAGGCAAAGTTAACATGAAACACCACACTAGCACTCATTTAAAAATATACACTGCACCGAGATTTATGACTGAGGATGCTTCCTATAAATCAAGCCAGACTTTCTTTCCTCTGCACCATGCAGAAATGTAAACACCTGCATCTGATTATTTTTAGTTTAAACAGAAAAACAGGTGCAGACACCTCTGTTTTCAAAACAAAGAATAAGAAATTTAAATAGATACCCATGTAAGAATATGTGTGTATGTGCACATCAGCTACTAATTTAAACATTATCAGTGCCTAGTACCATAAATACTCATATAGGATCAAAAGAAAAATTCTTATGTATATTTCCATTATTTATTATTATTTCTATTATCATAGTGCCTAGGAGCCTATTATAAAATATATAAGCTCAAATTTATCTCTGGTGTAATTCTGTGAAAGTCAATGAAGTCTGAAGGATTATATACATATAGAAAGATAGACAGATGGGTGTGTATAGGGATGGATAGATAGATTACTGAAAGAGAATCCTTAGAAAAAAGGAAACTTCTCTGGTGATCTCAGGATAATTAAATAACTTTTCCTTCTCATCTTTTTTAAGTGATTATTAAATACTGTATGGCAATATTCTTCTCCTCAAATTGATCATATTTTTTCAGTTGATTTTAGAAGTTTCAATTTGTATATTTGCGGGGGAAACCCCTCCACTTTCAGTTATCCAAGCAGGGTTGGAAATGTTTCAATTGTCTATTACAATTAAAATATACCCTCTAAAATTCACCTTGAGTTTTCATTTCTTTTTATCAAGCACATTTGTCCATAAGGTCCCGACTCAGCAAGGGGTTTAAGCATATACCTAATCGGAAACATGTGAGTAGACCCACTGACGTGCATAAAGTTAGACATGGGTCTACTCACACTGTTTTTTTTTTTGCTGAATTGGGGCCTAAATTTGAACATAAGAAAAGGCTGTGCAGTTGTAGGTCTATTCTAGTGTTTGTGTGGGTGTGTTAGTGTATTCTACGCTCTCTGTGTAAGTGTGCTCTAGCGTGTGCATATTCTAGTGCATGCATGTGTAAAATAAATCTGAAAATTTTGTGCCAGGAACAGGTACTAGTAGAAGGAATTTAGGACATTTATTCTCTCTTATTTTCACCATGTGAGGGTGTGAGTGAGTGTGTATGTGAGTGCTGCTTGTGATTGAGTGGGTGTCTGCCCAAGGAGATCTCAGTGACTTACATGCACTTACACCAGGGATGAATTTGATCCCGCACTTGTTACACCTCGGTTTTATACCAAAACATCTGAGCTGAGTTTCCGTTCAGATCAGTTCTATTATTTCATGCCTGCTATTAACAGGGAAAGAAATATATAAATGGCATATTCCAATCCCCCACAGTGATCAGACACCCTAGCACAGAGTCTCTGTTAACTTCAATGTTACGAAGAACCAGGTTCTGCTCTCAGCTAAATTTGGGA